GAAACGTCAATTAAATAATTAATCGGATTGAAGTTAAAAAAAGATAAACGTAAGACACTTACTTATTTGTTTTCTTATTTTGCTTATTTATTTATTTTTTCAATTATTTATCAATTCGTTATCAAAATTCAAAATTCTGTTAGTAAGGAAAATATTACCGCAATTCATAATCTTGGACACTGTAATCAAATGAAATAGGGATGAATGTAAGCTTAGAGGATAAAACTGGCCACTTTGATCAACATCGAATTGGAATTAAAAAATAAATGTAAGGCATTTGTTTGTTTCTTTTATTTGTTTATTTATTTGTTTATTATTAAAATTCTGCTAGTAAAGAAATATTACTGTAACTTGTAACCTTTAATTTTTATGATGGCTACAGGTAAGTAAAATTATTTTCACAATGTTAGTATGTTTGTACTATTGATCTTAACTAGCATGTCATTTACCATCAATTAGAAGACATTATTTAACAACAAACAAAAGACTTGCCACTTATACAGCACCTTCTAACATGTATGAAGATATAGTGTGTAATAACGACGAAATTGAACCATTTAAAGAGCGGCAAGGATCTCGCAGAATTATTGATTGACAGAGCGAATATCACATATATAGATTAAATCAAGCGATTTCACCAAATAGAAATGATCTCTAGAAGATGGAAAAGATGATTTGCGTTTCTATGCTGATGTTATGTGAGAGACCGAGTTAGAAAGAGAAGAAGATTGTGTTAGATTAAAGTTGAATAGAAAAAAAGGAAACGGCAAAAGAGGCATCGGTAGAACAGGCTGCTACTCAGAAGAAATGAAGATGAAATATGGAGACACCCGTAGAAGTTAAATCAAGTTCTGAATGGTCAAAACCTGATGATAAGGAACCTATATCAAAGAGCAGATGAGATGAATCTCCCAGGGCAATGGATGAAGGTACTAGTTTAGAGACTTCTCACAAAGGACATAGGTGAGATGTTACTCCAGGTTTCGACAAAAAAGTTTTGTTGGGAATAGGCACTGAAAAGAATGGATAGGATTGACCATTTTTATTAAAATAGAATTGGAGTTAAAAAAGACAAACGTAAGACATTTATTTATATGGTTGCTTATTTACTTGTTTGGTCATTAATTTATTCATTTGATATCAAAATTCAGAATTTACCGCGACTTGTAATTTTGGACACTGTTATCGAATAGAATAGATACCGAAAAGGATGAATGTGGAGTTTTTAAAATTGACAAAAATAGGAATGGTCATTATTATTAAAATGGAAATAGAGTCAAAAAGGACAATTATAAGGCATTCAGTCATTCACCAAAATGCTGAGACATTATTGCTATTTAAACATTTATCAAATAAATAGGTGTTAGAAAAAATAATGTAGAAAACTATGTTTGATAGAGTTGGGTAAATCCCATATATTACTGTTATATTATCCTTTATTAAACGTTAGAATTTTAACCTTTTAATATTTTAGGATTTCGATATTAATAAAACTTTTTTTTTGTTATTTACGTATCAAGATCATAAAACTATCGGAATTTTGTATATTAGAATTCTTATAGTGTCCGGACTTATGTGATTTCAGGATTTTTCATGGTTTAAATAATGAAAAATCCCTGAAATTGCATAAGTTTGGACACTCTGGAATTTTTATATTAATCAATATTGTCATATTTGC